GGAAATTTGATGCAATCATAAACTATTCTACTTTCATTCACCTCTCATCACCCATTTTTTTTAAGAGACTAATTTTTACCTTTACTCTTCTCATTCCCAAAATAATCGTTTTAAAATGGATCATGAAGATTTGTTAGAATAAAAGCATCAACAGCTAATAATGCTATGATTCTAAAATTTTAAACAGAGAAGAAAAGAAAAATCACAGAAAAGACATCAATCAATATTGTTATCCTTTATATGAGTGGAATTAAATATGATTAAATTCTTTCACTACTGTTTACTTTACAATGTTGTTGTTGTTGTTGGGATATATGATTATTATTCAATCATCCATTTTCAAATATTTGATAAAATGATGAAATTTTTTTTTCATGAAGAAAATTAGGTTATTTTAAATAAAGCAAAAAAATAATAATATAGACATTTTTATGTGATCAAACGTATACTTTTCATATTATAATATAGTCATATGCATGCATATATCTCATCAGATGCATTTTACACCCGGATGTCTGAGCTATCTATGTAGTGGACAAGCTTTTTGTATGATATGCGCATGTCATCAACCGAAGCCGAACCGATACAATCTGCACGATTTTTGTTTTCCATACCTCTACTAACCCAAGCCCCGATGTGTGTATACATATATAGATTAAAGATTACCATTACTGCTGATCGTTGGAATGATTAGTGTGCATATTTTCCATATATTTATTTATATGAGAAATATTCAATTGTAGTTTGAATCTAAATATCAAATTTAAATATAAATTTAAAAACCTCAAATATATTGCAAAAACAAAAAAAGAAGTGGCGAAATTTCATATATTTGTCGGAAACAAAACTCTTCGTAATAATTTATTTCGTTTCTAAAAAAATTATTCAGCATTTTATATAATTGATTACTTGACAATATTTTCTAATTCATGTGGGTCTCAAAGTATTAACGAAGAATTAGTGTAAATTTAAAAGTAAAATAATTATTAGATATGCAAAACTATCCTCATTGCTTTTCCCACTCTACACCCCTCTATCTTCCTTCATTTTGTCAACCCAACTCCAACTATCTCATCTTTCTAATCAAATCTAATCAAAGTTTTAAAACTTCTCAAATATTTAGTGCAAATGTAGGGCCAATATTTTAATTATCACAATCATCACACGCAAATATACACACAATACACGCAGATACATAGACCATTAACCAATAACTATTTGTATATCCATCATTATTCCATCACCTTCCCTATTACTATCTTATCAGTGTCTCCCTTTTCTACCAATTAATTTTGTGGAAGTTGTAAAAGAAGAAAAAAGCTTTTTCTCCTTTTCTTTTATTAATAAAAATTAAAAAAGATGAAATGCTTCCATTTTACATTAAAATAAAACAAAAACCTATTTCGAACAAATTATCGAAATTTAAAAAAAAACTAATAAACACACATGTAAGGAAAAAAAATCCCTTTTTTCTTTTTAATTGTTGTTGTTGTAGAAAATTTGTCTAAGTCAACCCCACCAGGGGAGGTCTCGTGTCACCAGCAACATGTGGCAACGATTGGTACTACCGTCACAACGACATCTTTTCGATGCCCTTCAATTTTTCAATTTTTTAGCGCATTTCTCATCATAGCAGCTGCGGTAATCGGTAACAAAGGAAAACGTTTTTAGCACAGACTATATATACATATATAATAAATATCAGCAACTGTAAAAAATTTAAAAACCCGAATGATATTTAGATACCTCATTGAAGGATTGCACAGTTAACTGCTGCTGATATCTTATTCTGCTAAATTTGAAAACTTTGCTTCCACAATATTGTGGATCTCAATTTTATTTTACCAAACAAAGCATTTGCAAAATATGAAATTAAACCATAGACAACGATAACGTCGTCAAATAGCATAAAAAAGGTGTTGTTCAATATTGCATATATCACCTAATTAACTAAACTAACTAACCAACGAAGATTAGGTAATTCGAAAATCAAAACTAAAATCTCCGAAATTCATATACTGTTTTCTAATTTTTAAGATAATTTAACATCTAAATTAAACTATCTTCCAATAAAATATGCAACTGTGCTTAGAAGCAGAAAATGATCAAAATTCATGGAAATTTTTTGCATGTTGCTAAAATTTTCATTTTTCTTTTTTAAAGTTTAGAATTTTTCAAAATTTCAAACTGCAATTATTACCAGCATAACAGGTCGTTATTGAATTTTAACAGCGAGTAACAGATTCCTTATCCCTCACATCGCAACAATTGTTATGTAAATGAGCATTTATTTGTTAGAGATTTCTTGTTGTCGTATATACCGATACTTGGAGCTCTAAGTGCTTCCAACATCGGGAAGTTGCAACAGTAGGTAAAAGAAAAGAGAAGCAACTTCAAAAAACCATAAGAAAAATGGTAATGTCGGCACTCATTTTCTCTCTATCATTTTTCCTTCTTTTTTTGCAATAAATTAAAGGGGAAATATTAAATGATTTAAGGAGATATGAATAAAAGAGTGGGAAAACAATTTTTTTCAATCCTGGAAAAACTGAAAATGTTAAAATTTTTGTAAAAATGCTCGTGTGTGGCCTCTTCCTCATCCCTCACATCGCAACAATTGTTATGTAAATGAGCATTTATTTGTTACAGAATTCTTGTTGTCGTATCCATCGATACCTGTCACCTTTTCGCATTCCGTCTCATTATCTTTCTAAGAGGGGTCAAAAGAGTTAGTAGGCAGAAAAGTGAACTGTCTAAAAAAAAAAGAAGGAAAAAAGTTGAAAAATTCTTTTCAGACATTCGTCTAACCCGTTATTGGCTTTTGTTTGGACCTCACACAGTTCACAGTATGATATAACATGACCGTACAACTATTTCATACTTCCAAATTACTACCTTTTATTTCCCGGATTGTTGCCTATCGAGGTGAAAATACCTATTTCTAGAGCTTCAGAAAACGTTTCCGACTAATTATTATGCAAATTACTTTGACCCAATACAAAGAAATACAAAGAGAAAAATTGTCATTTACTTTATACTTATACGACTACTACCATTGCTATTACTATTACTGCCAACTACACTAACACCTATAAAAATTTAATGTCCTTCAACCATAGCAACCATAGTTAATATTTTGAATAAATTACGTTAACAGTTCATAATATTCCCATACTTGATGCCTTTTTTTGGTATGAAAATTTCATGTATATAATATGTACCACATTATTAATACTACCGTTGCTATCAGATGTTCCACTAATACATCCGTTTTCGACAATTTCCTTAATCCGCTTCATCAATCAACAGAATGATGAACGCTTTGCTTATTAATTCTTAGCAAGAGGATATCCGTTATCATTAAAAATGTTAAAATATTCAAAAAAAAATGTCTCAAAAAGCGGTAATACTTTTGTATCATTTCATTCCAACAAATCTTTCATCATTATCTTTTCTATTCTTTCATGTATATGCAAATAAAAATTTCTTTGTCACTAATTAATGCTATCAAATATTATTAAATGAAAATCTGTGAGAAGAAAAATAATTAGCAACACTAATATATGACATAAGATGATAAGATAAACATGCTTTTTAAAATTATATATGTATTATTTTGTCTGTTCTCAATTTTAGCCACTTTTTTTCTAGTATCTGTGCTTGCTTATCCCTTCATCTCTCTCATCCATCCTTCTCCCATTCCATTTCTACTGCAAACAATGGTACCAGGGTACCAAGGCTGGTGGCAAGCAAACAACCCCAATACCTTTCTAATGAGAAATTCACCGGAACAAAAATGTGGGATAAGGGTGAATAGGGTCGAACGGGACATAGGTTAGAAAGGGAACAAGGGAAGACGATGAAAAGGGCAAACGTAACTCATCCTCTCCCCTGTTTTTCCATCCATTTATTTTTCCACTTTTTTTAAGTCCTCCGTTCCTCTTTTAACTAACAAATCACAACAACGGAAGGAAAAAAGGGATGAGGAAAAACGGGAATATAAGAAGGGAGAAGGAGGGGTGGAGGAATTACTGAATTAAAACGATTTCGAACACTCACGAAAAGGCTTGGTTCTTGGGAACGGTAACCTACTACTACTACAACAGCAACTACTACTATTACCATTACTATTTGTCCTACCCGCAGATGCTCCACGACCGAATAATTACCATTTAAAAAAATGCAATGAAGCGTGCGAACTACTTCGGACAACGGACACCAACTTCCAGGAATGGAGAACACCTATTGCATAATAGTATTGTCATCCTCATCTTTTGCATATTTCATTCAAACATTCCAATGGACAACTTTGATAATAGTGAATCTAGATATTCCAAGGAATAAAATTGGCCTGACTAAAAAGTGAAGCTCATCTTGAAAGCCTCTTTCAGATATATAAGATATTAAATATATTTATTTATTAAAAAAATAAGATTATAGAAATCTCCAATGCATGGTATTACAATTTCCCGCTTCATCTACTTACTTCATCAATCCTCCTTTTCACTTAAATCATTCTTTCTGTGATACTCGTAGAGAAGAATCTCGAAAAAAGCAGTTTTGCTTTTTTCCATAGAATTCGGTTTCCTTCTAGAAGTTGTGGGGAACTTCTTTAACCCCAATAACTAAAGTAAGTGAAGAAGTCTTATCAGCAAACTAAGAATATTTTTCGGACACTCAATCAAAAGATAAGAGATATGTGGAACCGTAATAAATAACGAGGATACTCTTTGCTTCAAATGATTCCAATGTTTTTGTAATGCAATGGCAATATCCAAAGTCTCCTATCCTGTTACAAGTTATGAACGAAATATGTCCAAATAATAAAATGTAATATGAGTAATTTACAAATTTTGTGTTACATATGTTGGAAATTGCAATTCATGCGGAGTTTGGAAAAAGAATTTTTATGCCTTTTTGGCCAAAACTATCAATGATTTACGGAAGTTCAAATTCTTTTCATGAATACAGTTATCTGTGTCCGTAGAATGAAACAACAATCAAATGAACTTACCCATTTGTATCCGATGTGCTGCAATGCGGCTATCCTCTGATAACGGATGTAGAGCACTATATCGAGCTGCAACCTGATCGAGAAAATCGAGTGCTGTCGATGTTGAAACATCCCAATTTAATTTATTTAACACCAGCAACTCTCCTTGCTGAAATAACTCAACAACTTTAATTTATTCTTTAATCTACTGAAAATATATATGAACCTTGATTTTTCGAGAGGAATTTCCCTGATTTTAATCCGCTTGAAATCAACCAATTTCACTACGAAAAAATCCATATTTCTTCAACAAATCTAATTTAAGGCTCGAAAAGCTAGAGGAAAAAAAACATGAGAAAAAAATGAAAATTTTTCATGATTACCAAAATTTGATCCATACGTACTGCACCATCCGTGTAGTAAGCAATTCTTTCAGCATTCAACGGTTGTGGTGCTTTCACTTTACTTGATACAAATAAACATGCACCGGCTAATGCTTGCAAATTGTTACGATGAAACGACTGAACACTTAGAAAACGATCCACTAATGAAACTGCTAGTAAGAAAACATCGGGTTCACAGTATTCCTCTTTACATACCTGAAAGGCATATATGTATGGTAAATGAAGGAATTATCATCAATTGTCAGTGAGAATTATTGCTATCAATTTGATCGGCGTCTTTCTTTTTTCTATTACCATCTGCTGTTCTTAGGAACATAATTAATTTTAAATTGGTCATTTTAAATTAAAAACTAATAATTTTCAGAAGTTGTAAATATTCCTCAGATGGGAAATTCAAATTAAAAAACAGAATCAAATTTAAGACTGTGTTAACTCACATCATAGATCCATTCAACCACTTGCTGCCGATGATGTGCTGTTACATCCATTTGAACACTTAGAAAACAATTTCCATGCATCGGCTTCATACTTTGTGCCTTGAACATACTTTCTAAGCAACGGTCATCCTGCAAATCATTTAGCAATATATATAGTTATCATAATTTTCCCGAGAATTTCTAAAAATCAATTACTTCCAGTGCATTATTTCATCTTTTAAAATCAAGAAATTTTGCACATTTTCAACAATACTATCGAATGATTTTTAAAGCGTACGCAATGAACAGTTTTATCTGCTAGAGGAAGAACACTTGGCCATTGAGCGACATTCAAACGATCCGTTGTTGACCTCTTCCTGTTCACCGGTATCTGCAATAAAATTGAATTGAAAAAAATTTTTTTTAATAAATTTATATAAACGAGCGTTTTCGATCAAATTGTCGAGGCCAAATTTTCTTTTGCTTATAACAATTTATTCGTTTCCGGGTCATCACTTGAATTGATTAATCCATTATTTATGCTTATTTGATATTCAACTAAACCAACCAACCCTTATTCTAATACAATAAGGATAAACCAAAAACGACAGACTACATTGTGACCAAACTTCTTGAACTAATTTGATAAGCTATCGGCTATCGGATAACCGTTCCTGATGAATAATTTCAAAATTCCAAGTGTGAACAAATTCGCAAACCTGCCCAAGAAGCAATTTCATAACATCGTTCGGTGATGATTGCCGAAGACCTATATCACTTTTAGTTGCACGACGACGAAGTTGTGATTGTTGTTGTTGTTGTTGTCGCGATGATGGTGCTGATGTTGATGCGGAATTGATACTTCGTGTTATTGATGGTGCAGAAGCGGTTGGTGCTGTTGTCGTTGCGACAATTCCCCCAAATCTTGCCGGTGCCGAAGATGTTGACGGTGACTCGGTGAGAAATTCAGTACATCGAAAATTTTCCATTTGCTAATATTTGATTGATAATAGCAAAGAATATCTCAAGAATAACCAGAAGTACCAGAATCTTGTTGAACAGCTAACAATTTCTGGAGTTGTATCGATCAGTAGTAGAAGACAATATCAGATATACGTATGTGTGGAAGTCGACGCACTTGCGCCCGTGTATTGCGCACACGCGCTTAGGCGCCAACTACCACACACCACACTTGTTCGACTGGCAATTTTCTTCAGTGGAATATTTTGTGGGATGATGATAAGTGCGGAATTTTGAAATTCAGGATATTGTACCACTGAAAGTTCGGAAGATTTGGCATATTCCCGGATTATACAATAATACACGTTACATGCCCAATTAAAGCTGAGCGTAGCGTTACTACGTGACCGGGTGTAGCTACTGTCATTCGATGTGATACAATTAACATGTCATAAACTGATATTCTGATATGAGATCTGATAATACGACAACGTAAAAAATACTGAATATTTTACTTATCATTATATTACGAAGGAAGCAAACTGATAAGAGCATAATAAAACATTCAACTTCTGCTCTAAAATTCCCGCTTCATAATATCTTATCAAGTGTTAGTTAATTTCGATTTTTTTAGGAAAGCAATTACAGTATTCTCATATATACTTTCCAATGATAGGAAGCAGCATTCTGCATTCATCCGAATGATCGGCGAGAAATAATTAACTTGTATCGGCAGTACTTGGTAAGCATTTAGCAAATACAATTATGAAATTTACTGCTTGCATTGACCTACAGACATGCGCGTATGGAAGGTAGTAGATATATAGGTGGATAGATAAACAAACAATAATAAATAAAACTTAAATTCAAGAATTTGATAAAATCCATCACAAAAAAATATGAAGATATAATAGAATAAAGTGAAGCGATAGTCAGAAGATGAAAAAAGAAATTAAGACTTCAAATTTCATGCAGAATAATCATGTATAGGACTTATTCGCTTAAAAATGTAAGAGTGAAAATTTTGGAGTTCAAGAAAAAAATTGATCAGAATTTTGAATATATGATCTAAAAATTCCGGAACTTTCCTGCAAAAATTGTTATGAAATATAATATTATAAATTCTATTCCAAAGGAAAAAAATTCAACTTTCGGGTGGAATAACACAAATATACCTTTATATTTTATTGCATTAACCTCCGTTCCGGTAAACCCAATTATTCAGAATGAGAAAGATGCTTTTTACTTGTCCAACCGATGATCTTGTAATGCTCGACTACAAGGAATAATTAGGACGTGTTGATATATAATGCCCTATGACCCGAACAAAGTATGAATGTTGTCGACGCTATTAGCAAACATGCAAATGTATGTTGCAATATGAAACATGCAATGTTCGCGAATAACATTGCAAAAGAAAAGGACTAAGCAGAAGACTAAACAGAGAGAAAAAGAGCAAGAGAGAGAGAGAAAAAAAGAAAAATGCAAAAGTTTTGCAAACTATCACTTAAAAAATTTGGGAACATTTGAATATACATGTATCATCACATTTATCCCATTTTATCTACCTTTTTTAAAATTCCTACGAAGCCTTACAAAAATAAAAGTATAAGTAATGAAAATTGAAAAATGAATAAAATCAAAAATTATAACAATTCAATTTACAGTGAAAAAGTTTGTTGCTAGTAATAAATAATGAGATGAAGACAACGGTTTAATCAAACGACCGATCAATTATAAATCTATTTTTGAAATTATTTTTGAAAAAGAAATTACTTTCATTTTCATTACATAATTTTTTTATCATTTTGAATTATATTAATTAGCAATTATTGCAACAAATATAATTATCAATTCATTTGATGAAAAGTAAGAAGAATAGGAAGATAAGGAAAATAGATAAGGAATTAAATAAGATAATTTGAAATGAATCACTTATATATATACACACACACACACAATATAAATCATATATAGTAATTATAAATCTTTTAATAAAAATAAAAATGAGAAATGAAAATGGGAAAAGCAAATAGTGTAGAATAGAATAGAATAGAATAGAATGAATGAATGAATGAAAGGGATAAATGGAAAAGGTCAACGTTCAAATAGGGATAATAGAAGAGATTGGCTGTTCAGTGGTATAGATGAAAAACGATGAGAGAAGGAAAAGGGCGGTAATTGGTAGTAGGTTAATAATAGAAAAATTTTCCCTATCTACCGCTGGTACTTTCATTTCTTGAATAATATATACTATTGATAGCAGTGCTGCATTCCATCATCTAATTCATTTTCATCAGCTGATAACGACTGATTCTCTATTTCACAACTTTATTAACAATATAATGAGATTGGGGATATGATGTTGATGATGATGATGATGATGATATGATATGTAGATGATGATTCCTGAACGGAAACGAGAATGATTCTTTCCAAATAGAATAACTTTGGTATAAATATTTCTTAAAATGAATCATTTTTTCTTTCTCTTTGTTTTATTAAATTTGGGAAATGAGAAATTAAGAAATAATTCATGGGGAATTTCAAATGTGAATAAATTATACTAAAAAAAAAAATATTATGAGATATTAGAGCTTGATTTAATGTTTTTATGAATTCGATAAAGAACGTATTTAGAAATGACTGTCATCTGATAGAAATCACGAAAATGTAGAAATTCGGAAAAACCATCGAATATTCAATTATTTAACATAACATAAAAATAGAGATCAAACTGAAAACCGAGGATGATCGTTAAAGTTTGATCATTATTTTATTAATGGTACGAAAACAATGATGTTGTTTCAAGTGTTTATTCTTGAAAGAAATATAAATCAGTACGTTGGATCAGTTTAACTCAATTATCACTACAGATGGATGTTTCTGATTTACTTGAAAATTTCCGGGCAATAATCAGTATGATTAAATTGATAACATCGATATGTATGAGATGAAATTTCTACAAGAGGAAACTTTTTGATGTAAAAAGCTAGATTTTAATTCATCAGTACTGTTTGATGATCGAAAGTAATTTCAGAAGTAGAAAAAAATAGTGATGAAGAATAATGATGATTGATAAAGCTACTCTTAGAATTGTAAAATTTACTAAAACTAAATTAATTTATTGAATTACAAAAATTTACTAAAAGTCTTCAATTAGTAAATATGTTAATTTATATGTGAATGAAGCAATAGTGATTACGTTCTTAATACTAGATGCATTTTTCTTTTTTTAATTTAATTTTAAAATGATAGAAAGGAAAAAGAAAGAAAGAAAGAATAAGAAACAAGGAAATTAATTATTCAATAATTTTCATATGTTTAAAAGCAAAAATTTTAATACTCGAGATAAGTCATTTAAAAATATTTGATTTAAATCCTTAAAAAATGATATTCACTAGAAGATAAGAGTTAACAGTGTTAATTTATTCTTTAATTATTTATTTTTGCAGACAAAAAATCTCTTAATTTATGAAATATCTTCTGTTTTTCTCTTCACATACCTAAAAAAATGATTAACAAACAAAGGTAAAATAGAGAGTTTGCAAAAAATTTCAAAAATACGAGATATGATATGACAGTAATATTATCGTAGTAATCTCATAAATCTTTTTTTTTTCAAATAACTCTCATAAAGCCTGAGATACATATATGACCCTTCACCCTAAGCAAAAAACGCAATCAGCTTGACCCTAACTAACCTTACCCTTCTTCGCCTTCGTTACCTATTACTGTCGAAACACCGCGGATTTATAGGATGAAAACAACATGGATTTAATGCGGCCTCTACCCCAGAATAAACCTACAAAATCTCACTGTGTATCTTATAATTTCTTGGCTAGAAATGTTCCATATTATTTTTTCCAATTGATCCATTTTTTATACAATATTTAAGGATGGTTTAATTGAAAGTTAGATTTAAAATCTTCATTTTAAGAAAAAATTTTCTAAATTTGTGAAAATTCGAAATTAAATTTACCTACCCAATGTTTCTTGTTCATTAAGTTATCTAGTCTCAATTTAATTAGTTTACCTTGGAATTAATTACCTAAAGTCAAATCAAGAAGTCACTCAATCAATCAATCATTCTATCTATATATATATAAGAAGGGTAAAACAAACAAAACAAAACATGAAAATATTAATAGAAACAAAAAATTAGAAAGTATAAATTTCTCCTGGAATTATACAATTTATATTATCTGCAAAAATTAGATAATCGAATTTGAACTTGTTTTCGAAATTATAAAAAGTTGAATTCCATATGAATTAAAAGGTTTTTAAAAAAATTAAAGAAAGATAAAAGATTTTTTTGAAATTCAATAATTAAATTTTTCCATCAATAAAATATTCATAAAAGTATTCCACTCATACTAAACTTCTTCCGGATTATTATTTTCAAAGAAATTATGCATGCAAAATTTCGATCTTCCGATAAAAATACTATATCACAGCTAATATGATAGGCTAAAATCAGTTAAGAAAAGTTGCGCAAGAACCATTTTCTCCCAACATCCTATTCGTAATAGCTCAATTTCCCGTCTCAATTGTGCCTGTCGGTTTGGGTGAACTGACGGCGGACAGTTCGTTGCAATTATTCGGTTTTTCGGAGGCGGTACACGGGGCGGAGCAGTCCTACCATCCGTTGATCTCTGTCGCCATTGTGTCACCACCCTTCTTCGTACCGTCTTCATCCTATCTCCAACTTTCCTCTGTTCCTCCTCCCCTCTCCCTTTCTCACATCAAAATCATCCAAAATATCATCACCTATCATCAGAATCCTCGCGCATTATCAACACTACTACCTCATTGGGGCGGTTAACTCTTTCATGTACTTTCGAAATATTCTGTCATATCCTGATGAAAAGCTTGCATAAAATAACATATGTTAAACTTTGAAGATATGAAAGAAGGTATATATCAATATTTATATACCCTCTATATCCTACATCTATTATAACTCTACCCAAGAATTATGGCACTACAATACTTAGTAGCAACGATTGATAGCTTTAAGCTTCGCAACTTCTGCTTTGTTCAATTTAAAAATGGAAATGTAAAAGGAAGATATAAATGAAAAATGTTAAATTTGAAATAGCAAATGGAATAATCCATAATTTATCGGTTTTAAATTGGAACAGTTTTAACTCTGCAATTTTGTCTACCCAAAAATATTCCTTACATTTATTTCTTCCTTTTCTAAAATTTCAAAATAATAGCTAATCATTAAATTGTTATAATTTTTCACATATATTCATAACATTTATCAGTTATCATTTATAGTAGAAAAATAAATTAAATAAAAATTAATTGAATTTTTTGAATCAAAAATAGAAATATGTTTATATTGTATATTGTATTTTACAGTAATTTCAATATTTGAAAATGTGAGAGATAAAAATTTATTTAATTACCTATTATTAGCCTATCATAGGAATGAATGCGTAGAAGATAGGAAGTGGAAAAGATAAAAGAAGCGAAACAATTTCGATTTAGTAACATACGACAATCTATCACATTCTAATACAAAATTTGCAGCTGAAATAAACGATCAAACAGATTAACTTTTTCTTTTTGAAAAACAAAAGGAGAAGATTTAAATCAAAAAAGTCGGTAAAATGTTCCATTTGGAGGAAGGACGAAGATTGAAAACAAAAATTCTCATCACAATGTGATCGATGATGTAAGGAGACATCTGCTTATACATACATTACTTTATCAGCATTAGAATTTCAATTTTTAAATCTAAATTTAAATTTTTAAAAATTCTTCAATAGCTTTATGTTTTGAAGAAGAGGAAGAAAATATGGTTGAAATTTGCAGCTAAATTTGAAATCGGTGAAATTTCTCAGTTCAGCCATTAATTTTACCATCTTATCAAACTCATTTCATTTCATGCAAATTTGTGATAATTCATTAGTTAATCAAATTATTGCAATAAATTTAATTGTAAATTTAATTAGCAATATATTGAAATGTAAAAATTGAAACAAAAATAATCATTCAACCTGAAATTATTTGGGTTTTAATTTTCTTCCTAAACAATTTCATTTCTATAATGAAATGAATTGTTCACAAATTCCAGCATATATATTATAATTATTCGCTATATTTAGTAATGGCAATAATTTGTTGTATATAAATATTTCATTATCTCAAAATATTATTGCAAAGTATAACTATATATGTTATAAGTTAACATTCCTCCTTTATTCTACCTCTTTCATTTTTTGAAAATACATTTGCTCTAACGATTTCCTTCTCTATTTGATTTATTTGTTTATCGTATAAAATTAATTCATAACAAAATTTAATTTAGAATGTCTTTAAATAGCTGATAAGTTGTTTATCAATAACTGATAAGTTGAAATAATTATGGGATAATTTTTCATCTTTTTTTTTAGTTATGATAGCAATACAGAACAAAGATTCATATGATTATTTAACATTCTTTGTATGAAATAATCAGCATCACTTTTAATCATTTTCATCGGTTGTCAACTGTCTCAACAATTTCTCTTATCACTATTTCATATTTTTCTTCTTTTCTTTTTTTTCATTTTTACTTCTTTGTAAAATATTTTATAATTTATAATCAATGTTTTCTTTTTCATTCATTTATATTATTATATCTATTGGAATTAACATAACTTTTATTTGAGCAAAAAACTTTAAAATTAATTTATCAGTATGTTTTGATTTAACTTTTGTTAGAATAATATTTAGATACTGATGATATATTTATAATGATATCATTAAATATCATAAATTAATCAGTCATTAACCTTATGCCGAAAAATTGAAATGATAAAATCGAAAAGTTAATTGCATCATTAATACACATTTAATAGTGAATATAATGATACAATGAATATAATGATAATATTTCAAAAATTTTTAACAATTTCAATAAATTATATCAGCATAAGAAATTGTATTTGCGAAAATAATTATTATTTAAATATTACTATTACGGTAATTCGAAATATTACTATTACAATTACAATTATTCAAATATTACTATTACAATTATTCAAATATTATTATAATTATTCAAAATATTACTATTACAATTATTCATATAATACTATTACAATTATTCGAAATATTACTATTATAATTATTCAAATATTATTATTACAATTCTTTCGTTCACTTTCACAAACATTACATAATGGTAAATTTCATTAGAATGTATGAATCAGAATAGTATATATAATGGAAGATTATGTGTCTATAACTAATTTTATTTCCTTACAGTAAACTATCATTGCCATTTTAAATATTATAAAATAATTAATTAAGCTAAAACTATTAGATGCTATCATTAGCATTTTAAATATTATAAAATAATTTAAAAATAAATAAATAAATAGATAGAACATAATCTATTGGATTAGATCAGCTCTATGTTTTCCTTTTTTAAAAATAATAACTTAACCAAAAGAAAAATTAATCATCAACTCATGTGATATTATCATATCTAATGATCAAAGATTATGTCACATATGTCCTATCTATCCTGTTTATCCAAATTATTTCATTTTTCATTTCAATAAACGAAAAGAGAAAGAAGAAGAAATTGAAATTCTCGTTTTTCTTTTTTAAATAAAATTCAAAATTTTAAATTTTTCCAACAGAAAACGAAAAAGTTCAAAATTTTTTTAAATGCGAAAAAAAAAAAGGAAAAGATAAATTGGTTGTGAAAAAGATTTGTTATATCTGATAATATAAAATACTCTAACAAATACTATTAGTTATAGTATTAGTAGTGATAATGATCAAATTTAAAATTTCGAAAAAACAACAAACAAAAAAATTAGTATTGGTGACAGATGACAAGAAATTTATTTTCAACAAAGAAAAGCAAAATGCTGCTATTCCACATTTTCATCCTATTTTCGACAATTTTTTCTTTTAATTAAAAAAAAAAAAATTTTAACATTAATTGAAAAGATTTTCGCTATTGTTTCAATCGTAATTTAATGAAATATATTTTGGTGTCAAAATGAAGTATGATGATGACATTCCTTTCTCTTATTTTTACCTATTCGCCTTCCCACACACGTGTGGTCACATCTTTTTTCAAAACTTCTTCACTGTACTTTTTTCGCAGCAGGAAAAAAAAAGGTCATCTAACCTCTTTGAAAATAACCCGAAGGGAAAGAGTAACATTCTTTGTTATTAACAAATTTTAGAAATTAAAGAAAAAAAGAAATGAAATTGAAAATCGTATCCATGATCAGGCTAATTTGAAATATCTTTATTGACAGTACAGTAAGATAAAGATAAAGGTTTTTCTTTTGTCAGTCAAAATATGAAAGTTAATTAATAAATTATTTATTAGTAAGTAATAAATTAATAGTAAATTTTAGTATTACTTAAGTTAAAAATTATTAATTGAAATTGAGATTTTTTTTAATCCAAAAGTAACAAAACTTTAAAGTAAAATAAAACTTTTTTTGTTAATTAAAAGTTTCAAAAATTAATTAATTGTAAATCAATTTAAATTTTGATAATTTTGGATTAAAAAATTTTGATATAAGTTGAATTGTTTCAAGATAAAAAACTTCAAATTTCAAAATTGCAAATTTCTTACTAATTTTTAATGTTTCATCAAATTAAGAAGTTAATTGTTCCTACTATATTTATACGAGTCAATTGATAAGTTGATAATTCCTTTTAATTTATGATATTTTAATTAAGCAATATTAATGTAAATTAAATGGCTGTGCAATAAAAATTTTCAAATCCTAAAATTAAGAACACTTAATGGCACCCAATTTTTTTGATTATTAATTACTGAAATGTTTTTATGCTCCAAAAATAAAGAGACAATTTTTTCAATGTCAAATTATGGTAATAATTCATTACTCTTCATTAATTAAAATCATTACATATTACTAGCCTATTACGATTGCTTGAAGTAATAATTCATTACTCATCATTAATTAAATCATTACATATCACTAGCCTATTACGATTGTGCATAATATCATTTTTGTTTTACCACAGCTTAAGCATTATACTAATTAATTAATTGGCTGATAGAGTGGAATGTTTCAATTAATACTTCATTAACTTAAGCATATCACAAGTTAACTTCTCAAATGAACTCTAACTAATATCAAATGATAAATTATTGATTTGCACAATTTGGCGTATACGAATTGATTCGTTTAATTATTTTTAAATTCATTAGTTTTGAATTGTTCAATCAAATTAAATATTATATCAAATGAAACCTTTAAAAACAAAAAGATGAATCTTTCAGAAATTTATTTCATCAAAATATGTCAAATATATTTTTACTACGAATTTGTTTTGGAAAGATATTTTTTACTACGAATATCAGTGATAATATTTAAAGCCTGTGATAAAATTTATTTTAAAATATTTGATTAGTTTTTCTAAATAAATTCGTTTAAGCGGCTTCTTGAAAAATGCAATATGATAAAAATGTTGTTTATTTAATTGGACAAATTTATTTATTATTTAATTATTTAAAATTTAAAATTATTTAATTTGATGATATGCTTGATAATATTATCATTTCATGTCTTCCAATTTGCATTTTTGTTTCCTTCAATATTTGATTATTTCTGTTCAGTTTATTTGCAGCATTTATTCTTGTTATCTTTTAATTATCATTTAAATTTAAATGATCGATTTTATTAATTTTTTGAAAGGAGAA